TTAATGAAACAAACAAATCAAAATTCTTGCGCAAAAGGGTTAAGACATTAATGTTTTCGATAAAAATAAATAAATTATAAGTATAATAAAAAAAATTGAAAATTATTGAATGATCGGAAGAAAAGAAAATATTTAAAAAATTTCGATTATTTTTCAGAACGAATGAATAAAATAAATAATTATTTAATACGTTATTTTACAGATCATAAATTTTGTGCTCGATGTTTCACAATTATACATTTTTATCATGAATGAGAGAAATTCGATAATGAATATAGATTCGTTCGTGAGAAATCTCAGGTAGAATATGTATAATGATTCATGAATAATATCGATAATTGAATTTGTCGAGTTAATAATTGTTCGTTTATTGCAAACGATAATGATATTTAAAAAAAAGCGAAAAAATTATATAAAATAACGCGCTAATATTTTCAAATGAAGTACATCCCTATAAATCGATCCTCTGCCAAACTGAGTAATCGAATAATCGTGACAAATTAAGGACAAATTATGAATTAAGGTTGTAAATTGATTATAGATATATCAAATTAATTTACCACTGTATTAATGTTTCTAAATCACCCTTATGCACTGGAATTGTAAATTGATAAAATTGTGATTATAAATAATTTCAATATGAATATGAGAATTAAATATTACTTATTATTAGATGTGTAGAATTATTTAATTATTTAATAAATTAGAAAGAATTAATTCGTTTTTTTATTATTTATGAAATGCAATTTCAGTGCATTGTTTGTGGGTGAAAGGGTGCAATAAATATAAAAAAATTTTCTTAGGTCAAGGTGTTACGTTAACATCGAAAGATATTAATTTCGACATTGGACGAATTAATTTAATGTGATCATAATTTATCAATATTATATCTGAAATTCTGTTCTGCAGCGAGAAATGAAATAATTGCATTGGAAAATAATAATTCAATTTTTGTATTTGTGGAGTTTTGATGATTCTTTTTTCTAGATTTTATTACAGTTAGTTCGAATGACCGAAGTGTTTTTATCAGAAAAAGACAAGAAAAAGAGAAAACGATAAGAGTCATCGACAGAGTTGAATAGATTTATAAATCTGTATAAATAAAGAATAAAAACTTAAAAAAATGAATACTTATAATGATAAATAAAATATTTATTTTGATTTTTTTCTTTTATAATGCAATCTTTATTTCCTTCGAATTAAAACAGTTAAAATATATGAAATATTTTTATTTGAAAAATAAATTTAATTATTAGTTTTTAATTATTAGTTTTTATTTTAAATTAATATATATTTTAATAATTCTAGTAATTCTAATTATATTTATTAATATTATTATAAAAATTTGAAATTATCACAAATTGTGAAAAAAAACTATAAAATAAATAAATAAATAGAAAATATATAGAAATTTATTTTGCATGTTTTAAATGCAAAAAACAATTAACATATGAGACACAGTGAATGATTGAATGCAAATTTTTTTAATTATCTAAATAAGATTTATAAAATGTGTTTATATTTTTCAAAATTATTTTTCGTATATATATACGAAAATACTTAATGAAAGATTACTATCTGGAAGAATTCGTCTCTATGTAAATATAATATAAAGATGATTAAACTTTAATTTCTTACTATTTCTCATAATTTTAAAGATAATGTGATTTATTTATCTTAAACTTAATAATTCATTAATTATTATTATATTATTTTTCAATTATTTTAACTTAATTATTAACTATTATTATTAATTATTAACTTATTAATTATTTTCAATTACATCAGATCTCCAATAATAAAATTTAAAATTAATCTTAATAGTTATCGTGTCAAAAATATAAATTACTTGTTCTTTTACGTACAGGATAAAGAATAAAAAAAATATCCAACTCTGTTCTTGATTGCATCGTTGTGAATAAAAAAGTGAACGATTATTTCATATTGTAAATATAATTGTGTCCAGTATAAACTTCGAATCACAATGTACCAGACGCAGCTAATTCATAATGAATACACGAATAGCCGAGTCACATATAAAGAATTTAAAAAAACATAAAAAATACAAATAATATTGATGATAGCACATTATCTCCCGAATTATGTTGGAACAAATCATATTGTAAACGCAGGTATGTACATTCAATTAATACCAAAGTGTGCGAAATTTCATGCGAATACAGAAACGCATTGAATTGTAAATATCTTCACTAATCCTTCCCTTCTCCCTGCTTCTACCCTCGTTGTCGTTAATTAGTGATTCGTTTTAATGAATGATTTGTTTAAATGTTTGTATACAATCGTTCTACCATTGTTCCTTTTGTAATGTATATTTCAAAAGGGAGAACACCGTAGACCTAACGTTTTCGTAATCTATTCGAATCGTCTTCGAATTTGTATAATATTTCTATACCGGCGCGCACATAATAAACTATCCAATTAAACTACTTGTTTATTAATTTATAACAAAACCCTATTACTAAATATTTTCAATATTTTTTCTCATCTTCGTTTTTTTTTTTATTTATTTTAATTACTTTTTTTCTTGTTTGGTTTATCAGAATTGATTTTAATTGAATAATGAATATTATATAATTTATAATAATGATAATCATATTAATCCTTAGCATATCAAAATAGAATGATTCTTTATGTAATATCATCGAATTGCTTTTAAGCTATGCTATAGTATATGTTATATAAAATTGGAATAAATAATAAAGTAAACATATCGAAGTCAATAAAACATATCCTTGCGCATCAGATATACATGCTTTATGATTGGTTAATGTTTTTCATTAATAACTCATTAATAAAAGCGAAAATTTTTACAAAGGAAAAAATTGTTTTTAAATCATATTTATTTTCAGAAATTTTTAATTAAGTTTTATAAATTTCTGGAATATATATTTATGATATTCGATATATATTAGATATATACTAGAATATATATATAAATAGATTTATATTGATACATATAATTCAGAATTTTTTAATGTAATTGAATTGCAAATGATTTTTTCCTTTTATTCATTCTGATCTTAGAATTTCATAAAAGTTTCTTGGTAGATTGATTAATAAAATAATATACTAATTTTTTAATATATATATTAAAAAAATTAATTTATAATTATTAAAATAACATTAATAACTATTAAGTTTCATTTCAACATCAATAATT